ACCGTCGGGACACTCCCGCTTCACAGCCAGGAGCCACCAACCAGGAACCACCAACCACTTTGGTTCAGCGAAGACGGCAAGGAACACCCTCTCGAGTGAACCTGGACGCCTTCCAACATGAATGCTGGCTCGTTAGAGAAAAGAACTACTAATGTCACCAGCAGGAACCATCCAACAGCCAGGAACCACCACCAGGAACCACTTTGTTTCAGCGAAGATTCGGTTGAAAGCGTGAAAGTTGCAACACTTCCTTCCTGGTGGTGGCTTTTTCCCCTTCCTTTTTGTGGAGTCAAGTGACCGTTTCTGGAGGGCTGCTTCAAAGCTTCCTCATTTCTTTGTTGGTTGGTCGGTCAGTCGGTCGGTCGGTCAAGCTTGTTTCAAGTTGGCGCTCGCAACCTTGTCTTCGCTTCTGGTCCTTTGTTCTTTCGGCGGCGCGTGTGTCTGCAGCTGACGCGAAGAAGTGATGCTTGCTCGGAGCCAATTTGTACTGGGGAAGCTTTGGAGTGGCCAAGTTGCACTTGTTGATGGTTCCTCTTCTTGCTTTGGTTGACCCTGGGCACTTTGCTTTGGTTCAAATCACTGGACTCAAAGTGACTTCTCTCTCCTTAGCTAGCTAAACTACTTCCACTTTGTTGCGTTGGCCCCCGGTCCCCACGGCACCTTTGTGGGCTTCAGCTGGGTGCTTTCAGCCCTCGTTGGCTTTGCCTTTCTCTCACCCCTCAACCCTTTCTGTTCCCAGCAAACACCCAACTCAAGCTCTCGTTTGGTTCCCAAACTCAACCCTTTCTGTACCACCTTTTGGCTCCCAACTCAAGCATCCTGTCGGCTCCCAACCAACTACCCTTCTTAACTGTCCTTCTCCTGTCAAGCTTGGTTTCCCTTGCAGTCCCTTTGGTCGGTCTCCTGCTCGACTCCCAGCCCTCCTTTGGTTTTGCTTGCGCTCTCCTTCTTCCGTCTTGGCTGCTTGTCCTTTGCTCTGTTTCTCTGTTTTACTTGGCAAGCTAGAAGCCAAGTCTTGTGCCTGAGTTCTTCCACTGTTGCGGTCTTAGCGTTGTCTCCCAGCACTGACTCGACTCTCTTCTGAGTGCAGCCAAACGTTCTTAGAAAAAGGCAGAAGAAGACGAAAGGGTTCTGTCCAGTCCAGGTTTCGGTGTTACTTGCGGCTTCTTGGTGCCGAGTTGTGCGCCTTTCCGCTGGTGCGTGTGGTGTGCAAGCTTCGGCCGCACTCCAACACTGCTCCAAATCCTCGGCGACCAGTCGAACGTCGAGGAAGCAGCGAGCAAATTCGCCCTCACAAGCTTTGACGGTGGCGGCACTTGTGCCGACACGGAAATTCTCCCAGAAGACGCCACCCTTCGAGTCTGAACAGGCGTTTATTAGGGAGCTCGATTGGTAGTTGCGGTTTTGAAGCTTGTCCTGTGCGTTTGGGAGTTGGTTGGATGTCCGAGGTACCACCGGCCTCCTGAGCAAAAGGCTCAGTACAGAAACTGGTGTCTCCACAAGCCTTATTCTGGAGTCCCTCGTCCCGGAATGTAAATGTAGGCTGAAGCTGGGGCGGAGAGCAGCGGCGTATCTTCGTGATTTGGGCTACGCAAACAGCCAGAATGGTGGATCTGCAGACAACATTCGTCGTGCCCTTGGTTGAGCATAAGCACTGTTCGGCAGTCATATCTAGTTAGCTAGATGGTTCACATTCATTCAACTTGCGCACAGATAGGTTTGAAGCGAACGCGTTGTACTAGTACATCTTGAATTCCAATCAAAGCCCCCCCAAAACACAAGCTTTGCAAACCCCACCCAAACCTGAGGCAGATCGAGGAGTGCCAGATCTGCTTGCATGAAACGAACATCTGAGACAAAGCAAAGAAATGCATAGTGCAGCCAACAGGAACTAGATCATTGTACGTAGCGCCATTCCGTCGCGTAAGGTGAGACCGTTCTTTTTATGGTGCATGTATGCAAGTCTCGCCGTGAAAACGTTCAAAGTCACTACCTAATAAACCTCACTATTTTCACTCAACATATTCCACAGTCGTTGAAGGTGGAAGCCTCCTGCAAAGAAAACCTGCAGGCCACAGCAAGATCGTGCGGAAGTCAAGCTGTGACATGGGGGTGGTTCCCCAATAACCCTTCTGACCGGTACACAAGTGTACTGTACTGCTGCGAGGATCTGGAAACTGGTCAATCTTTTAGTCAAAAGAACCAGATTGGATGCTTCCCTGAATCATAATTTAAGAATCTTTTTACCTTTTGGTTTCTGGGACAGTGATGACACAAGAAGAAGAGCATGGTTGGAATTGTCTTTCAACTCATCATTGTGGGTTCTCATTGCCTGCAACCCTCTCCAGGTATGAGTATTCAGTCCAAGGCAACTATGCCCAGCAACTTGCTTGTAGTTGACTTGATGCATCATTCTTGAGAATCCTTTTTTCTTCAGCTAGCGAGAATGAGAATTCTGCTGTCATTCGACTCCTTGTTGTAACAGTGCAACAGGACGGTGGTAGGTACCGTATCTCCTTCGATACTTCCAGTAGCCTAAAGAATGGATACCGGTACCGGTACAGGTACCGGTATCCAAGTCTCACCTGGACATAACTTTCAAGAATTACATTTCCGCGAAGGGGTGCATGTTCTACAACAACGAACAAGATCCCAGAACTGTCTGTGATAGCTTCTTTGGTAGGTGCTGTGATGCAGGTTCTGGACAATACCAAAACGAGAATCAATGAAATGAATGCGATCAACAATCTTCAGCTGATGCTTCGTACTTCCGCTGCATTGTTTTGCTCCTTTATGCAACCATGAAGAATCCTCGTCTCTCGTCCCTCTTGTTCCTGGCCGCAACCTCTCTCGGAAGCGGCAGTGCCTTGATACGAGGCTCAAACAATGATCGCAAACCGAAGAACCCGTCCACGGAACCGCTCAACACACCCGCTGCTACAAGAAGTGCCAGTAGCACTGGTTTGAAGGCTCGTCAATTGCAGTCTTGCAGTGAAGATGATACATTCTTTGTCATCCTGAGTTGCGAGAATGTTTGTGGCGTGAATGGTCTCGAATTCAAAGCCGAACGTTTTTCCGGTGTGTGTGAGTTTGTCTCTGACAGCGACCGATCAGTGCAATTCTGTGGTCGTACCACCGCGGCGAAAACATTGCTTCGAATCCACAGCGTACCTACAGGACGCATGGCTTGATCTCTTGCCGTGGGCGCTTGCAAATGGTTCCTTTTCCATGGATCAAGCTTCCAACATCATTGCAGCGGGTTTGCACGGTTGGCCCTTTGAAGAATGGTGTGTCACCCGCGTCGATGACTTCTCGTCGGTCTTTCGTGATCTCTTTTACAGTTTCAATGTGCCATTTGACTATTCCAGGTAGGTGGAGTGCACTGAATTGCATGCTGCATTCTCATTCTCTCTTGAGTTGCTTTGCCAGACTTACACTGTAGTACCGATTCTCTGTGCTTCAGTTGGGATGTATCCAATGCCACCAGCTTTGAAGGGCTGTTTCAGGGATTGGAGACATTCAACCAGAATCTGTGCAGTTGGGGGCTCCTGGACTACCAACAAGGCATTCCATCCACAAAAGACATGTTCGTAGGCACAGCTTGCCCCACGACAGAGGATCCTGACTTCAACGCAGTTCCAGCCGGTCCATTTTGCCATCCATGTGCATAAGTGTAGCTTGCCAGCTTGGTCGCAGTTGTATCGGTACGTGCAGTCTTATCGTACAGTCGTACAAGTTGCATTTGAACCCAGGAGGTGCAAGGGACTTGATTGTGCTTGCTCATGGCTTTGGTTAAATTTGATTGATTAAATCATTGAACTTCATTTGGCGAATTTTTTTCGTGCCTAGATCTTGGAAGCCCACTTTAAAAGGTAGCTGTCATGGCTAGTTGCAAGACCAGATACTGGAGAAGTCTAGTACTTTTACTTGCGAACGAACGAAAGCTTGACGCTCCTCATTTCTCCGGTTTGAAACCATCCCTTCAACTTTTCATCACACTCACAAATGCCATTAAAGACGGTCAAGAGCCATCCCGAGTGAGAAGCAACACCAACCACCTTTTCATCACGTCCGGACAACCATTCCATGAACTTGTAAACGCGCCCTCCCACTTCGGCTTTGGTTTCTCGGTGGTCGTTACGAAAAATGACATCGTCATCCGATTCCAGGAGGCCAAAGTCCACTTGTGGGAATTCTTTCATTTGTCGACTTTTGGGCCGTCTTTTATCACAAACATGGATGCCGGTCTCTTCGCGGACCATTTCATGGGCCAAAAATGGGATTCCTGCCTCCAGGAGCTCCTCAAATACCAGTAGGCCGGTCTGGATCGCACGACAGTTGGGGGATAGCACCACAAGGTTTGGTTTGGTCGACATTTCCTTGACCACTGATTGCAGTAATAATGCTTGTTGTCGTCCTTTTTCTGTCAGAGGAGCATCTACAATCTCTGGCATCACGTAGGGATTCTCAGGAGTATTGGTGAACTGTCAATATCCAATGAAACAGTTCACAGTGAGAAGCGATCGCAATGGTATCAATCCATCCATCCATCCATCCATCCATAAAGCTGACTTACTTGCACCCATTCTCGACCTTGTGAACTTGCGAGGTCTGCCATTAGGTTGTGAAAACCTTGTCCATGACGTACAAAATGAACAATAATAGCGTCTGCTGGAGCATTGGCATCATCCAAACCGTAAGCCTTGACAATCAGAGGACGTTTCCTCATTTCATCGTATAGCTCTTGCATGCCATGCATATGCTCGGCACTTTCCTTCTTTGCCAATGCCAGGGTGGCCTCGCTGTGTGCTGCCGCCGCGGACGACATGCTGGTACTGGGATCGGCGGGAGATGCGTCGCTGTAAAATATTGAGCAAAGGCAAACGATCAGAGCCAGAATCACAGCAGCTCTTGTCCTCACTGCACTACTAATAACTTTGTTCCAGATGAAACTCTTGACCGTCTTGAAGTCGTTCTGTTGTCGCAATGCATGTAGTGGGTGGCCATGCAGGTTCATTGGCTGGATGCTGTGGGGGTTTGATGAGACGAAGAAAAGAAACGGCAAGAATCTTGAGGTATCTTCGTTTAAGGCTAAGTTAGGGTTACAATTGCTCTAAATTTCCATGACGTGGAACCGAAGACAGGCGAGAGACGGTTGCTCCACGACGTGGAAATGGAAAGCGTCAAAAGTCGAAGAGTGGTAAAAATGGTCTGTCCAAGCTGCCGGTACACGTGAAGCTCAAGGTAGATCTAAAAGCATGAGCAAAGCCAGCAAACAAGGACGCTCCCGGTACGTTTGGCTTCAATCAGGAAAGCTTTCGGTGTTTGGTGGATGTCACGGTTGTTGGTTCCTCTGTCTCGAGCTGTATGATATGATGGCCTGGCCTGGCATAGCTGGTAGATTCGTGAAGTCAAATAGTTGTGGCTCAGAAACCCTTTACACACTGTGATTCATTCCGGGCGCGCTTCCTCAGGAATTTAGTCATCGGAAAGAAGGTTGAGTAGTAAGTGGTGCGGTGGAGTTTACTAGCTAGCTAGAGTTGTAAAAAGCCAATGCCAAAAGGCCACCAACAAATTTGCTTTCTTCCTGGTAGCAAAAGCCGCCCTCTCAAAGAAGTTTCCAGCTCTACAATGTCATGTAGTCTATCTGCCTTCTTCCCGACTTGAACTACATTTATTAGCTAATTAACCAACCATGGCAACTAGAGCCAGTAGCCCCATTCGCGTCATCGCCCTGGACCAACTCGCTCGTTCCCAGCCATGTTGATGGAGTTCCATGACAAGCTACTACTAGCTAGTACTCGTTGCTCTGCTTTTGGTGGAATCTTAGCGACGTGGGAGCGGTAGCTTTAGCGGTAGTACACGGAAGCAATTACTGTCCCCATGTATGTTTCCATCTATCTTTCCATGACAGCTCCTTGCCGGTCGCGTTCCGTTCCGTTGTGTGCGCTATTTACAACTTATTACAGAGGGCTCCTCTCAAAGTCACGACGAATGATGAGCCGCCGGGTTTGTGGGTGTGTGGCGTGGATGTATGTCTCCAATCATGTTGCCGGCATCTGGCATCTTGTAAAGCATTAGTTGCATTTAATTTTGGCAAGACAAGACACAGTTAGTTTATTAGTGAGTTATCATTGTTGTACGTGCATTGTGTAAAAGCCTCCTGTCCATCCAGCCCGGACCTGGCTCTTTGGGACTTTTTGGCAGGAATGAATGGTGACTTCCGCAGGCATCCGCCGACGGGCGCGTGGGATGTAGGCGAGTGTGCGTCATATTCGTCGAGAAGCAACCTCGCCTAACTAAGAGGCCGTTCACGTTCCTTCCTGCAGCAATCAAACACGGCTACAGTATGCAAGTAAGATAAGAGCGACAAGTACCAGTAACAGCACCAGCCCAGCAGAAGCATCAGGAACCCGTCTTGCAGCAATAAGGCAACAAGCGAACGACGACTCACAGAGACCATCCACACATCATCAGCGCAGATTGGCTTACAACCAAACAAACCAAGACAAGAAGACTAGCTAGTAGTAGTAGTAGAGGAGCGGTGGCGCAAGAGCAACAACCACAGCAGCAGCAATCAACTCGACACTAGAAGTAGTACAGCAGTAGAACACAGTAGCCATGTCCGGAGGAATCAATGAAGCGACGTTGCGTCGCCTACAGCAGCGCTTAGTACTAGAAGGCTACAAAGACCCCAGCGATGCTGGCAGTGATACAGTCCGCAGTAGCCCCGAAGAAGCCGACCCTGCCAAACCGGAGGAACCACCGCAGCAACCACACGTGATTCGACCGCACATGGATGAAGCCGAACGACTGCGGGAACAACGAGAAGAAGAACTGTTGGCGCAATATCGGAGGGACCTAGAACGACGCCGCGAGTCCAGTGATCGACGCTCGACATCTATCACGGACGATCAGACGATGACCGACAGTGAGATCGCCGAGCTAACGCAACAATTTGGCCAACAAGCCGAAGCAGCCCTGTGGCAGTGCGAGTGCGGACACGAGTCTCCGTTGGAACACAACTTTTGCGGAGTCTGCGGATTGAGTCGACCGGTCGATTGGTGGTGCGAGAATTGTCAAATTGAGAATCCGCACTTTCATCACTTTTGTAGTCAGTGCGGTGCGCCCGATTTGGAGTATGAAGACATGTCCGCAGCTCGCCGCATCGCACCGCCCACGACCATTCTACATCATCCATCGGGATGCGAAGCGTCCGTTCTTACAGAAGACGCCGAAATTGAACGAGCGGTCGCCCGCATGACACTGGCAGACCAACGACACCATCCGCAGCCATGGCCCGATGAGGAAGATGACGGAGTCACGTTTGCCGATGATGCGAATGATATGGTCTCACGAGCCATGTCACGACAACAGCAGCCGGAGGACGCGACGTTGCGTCGCCTGCAGCAGCGTTTAGTAGAAGAGGGCTACAAAGACCCCAGCGTCGCTGGCAGTAAGCAACAACAACAACCACCACCAAAGCCCCAGGGATGGTCCTGTGGCGTCTGTACGTATCACAACGAAAACCAAAACTTTTTGTCGTGTGAAATGTGCGGATCCCATCGACCGGCATCGCCCACCAACGGACTTGCACCGCAGGAAGAAGAACCACCGCTGCCAGCGCAACAACATCAACACCGACGACGACCATCGTTGGGAGCCGCGTCCAAGGATAGCGACAAGAAAGAGATGCGCTTTACGGATTTGTTGCGACGACAAGCAGATGGAGGAGTTGGACAGCCGCCCATTCCTAGCACTACCGGACAACAACAAGAGCAACTAGCAGGAGCGGACAACGATTTGGAACTCGCCATGATTTACGCACAACAAGAACGAATGTTGGCCGAATTCCAAAATCAAGGATTCTAATCCAATCTACCTACAATACATACGATACGCTCAACTTGGGACGAGGCAATCTAAATACAAAGAAAAGAAATCGAATACACGGCAAGTATCGTATTCTGTACTGTAACCATTAATATTATCTAATTACGAAATAAGAGAGGGTACTAGCTAGAAACAGCGGCATGCCTTAGCAAACAAGCTAGCTAGCTAGCACCAGACCAAATACCTACCGCCGGTACCATTCTCATTAGACATGATACTACTTGTTCGGTGAAGGGTCTTGGTCCAGTACTCGTATGCATAAGCCCAACGGTACCAGTGGTGCCAAAAAACCTGGGTCCGGTCGTCACAGACCTGGATAGAAGCGCAACCGCACCTTCAAACCACTCACACATTATTTCGACCTGTGACTGGCCCGAACCTTCCCATTGTTGCCGTGTCTCTCTCATCAGGCGGTGCCAATTACCGTAATAATATGCTAGACTAATTGCAGGGTCCTGTCAGGTCCATGTCTAGCTAGACAAACAGCCTGGCCCGCACTACAACGTATTGCTACGGGGCTGCTAAATTGAATCGAAGCGTTCCATGCCAAGCCCTCCCAAATGTAAAAGCCTGTTTCGTCCGATCAACTCGCCGTCATGGTTACTATCGTACCTGGTAGCTAGACTTGATTCACTAAACCTGTCCTCGCCACAAGCTTTTTCCTGACTTGTCCACCGTGTCCAAATTGAGAGGAGCTTAGTTAGAAAGACGCAGTATCTCTGTAGCTAGCTAGAATGGACCAATAGCGAAAGACTACTGCTAGCTAGCTACGGTATAGCTACAGTTAAAGTTCAAAGTGCTCCTTGAACCAGGCACAGCATCGTCGAGAGCTATCGTTGCGATCCTTCCTGGCGGCTTCCACGCTCCCTTTCATCTCGGTCCATAAGCTGCCCGGACCGCAAAAGAAGACGGCAGGAGATTCGCTTTCGACAATTGGGTGAATCACGTTGGCCAATGGAGGTCGCCCTTGGTTGAAAACGAGTGAAAATCGGCACGTTCCCTTGACAATGACCTTTTCGTCGTTATTCGTCAGGGCGACCTCATCCAACGTTTCACTGCTCTTCTCCACATCGTCGTCGTCGTCATCTTCAGCGCTGACCAGAGCGTGTTGCGGATGTGCTGCAAGAATCCATCGAGAAAATTCGAAAAGAAGGAACACTAAAATGGGAACAGCAATCGCAACACCCAGAGAGTAGCCACGGACAAAGATTCGGTGACGGTAGTTCCAAGACATTTCATGATACCACCAAAGGTGAATCCCAAATGTGATGATCATGGTGACTGCCGCGAGCCTAAGAGTACTTCGAGGCGAAACTTGGAAGGGGGATCCAGAGGGACTGCGTTGATCGTTGTCGCCGCCTCGCACGAGACCACGGGATGAATCTGGTTGCTTCTCGTCGTCGCACTCATCAAAGTCGCGCGTTGGATCATCATCTCCGCTGCGACTCGATGTCAGATGGACACAAAAGTGTATTCTCGATTGCTGGTTGCTGCCATCAAAATTATAAACTGCCTGCTGCGGTGGTTGAGTCTCTGCTGCGATGAGTGGTTTCAGATAGTGGGCCCATACATGCTGCACTAGCGTTGGATCGCGACAGTACCAATGAATGTGAATGTCAATGGGAGAGCCACGAGCAGAAGTGGAAAGCTTCTTCCAGAGATTGATCACAACTGGAAGGACGGGAGTTATCCCAATCCCTGCTGCGACAAAAAGCAGCGTATCGCGACCACCGCCCAGTGATTCTTGAACCCAGTCCGGGCCACTGTCGTAGAATCCATCCACCAAAATGGTAACTGGTCTATTGTTGTTGTTGTTTGCCACCAATCGTCGGCGCAGCGTTTGCGTGAAGGGACCAAACTCTCGTATCAGTAACCGCAGTTCGTGTGGAGATGCATGCGCCACTGTGAATGGATGCCACTCGAGGATGGAACGCTCGGGTATGCAAAGTTTGACGTAGGCTGGATGATGCCGCGGTTGCGACATGGTAGCCAATCGTAGTTCGAAACATCCATTCGAGTTGGGTATTACGACAGCGTTTCGAATCAAAATCCCCGTTCTCCAACTGTTGAGTTGTTGCAGGATGGATGGAAGCGAACATACCCAATAGTAGACCACGCCAGGCATGAGGTAGATTGCAATCCAATAAAAGTGCAGAATGCTAAAGAGCACCATGATGGCCCCAAAGATGATATGACACTGGTAGAAAAACCTGTAGTATCGTCGCCGAATCACATTCCATGATGTCATGACCAGGACCCAGAGTGCCGTAACAGCAATAATGCCCGTAAGATTGCGCCAAGAATGATAACAATAGGTTTCTGGTTCTTCATCCTTTCGAAAGCCTCCTGGGCTCTGCCATCTCCAGCAGTTCCTTTCCATGGGAACCAAGTTGTGAATTGCCGTTTCGAACATCCCTTTGTGACTTCCGTTACTGTTAGTAGCAAAGACCGCCACAATGGTATGGAGTGTCCCGTGAATGCTGGCCAAGACCCAACAGATGCGTCCCGCCCAAATGTGAAATCCTACTGCCAGTGCGGGGGACAGCCCCAGCAGTGACAAGAGTGGCGATTGCTTGGCAACGGGGACCAGAAAGAAGGGCAATGCCACCACGGCACCATATCCTGTCGGGTTGGCCCAACTGGTAATGAGTTGTGTGACAACGACGGTCACAACATCCTGATGCATGGTTTGTCGGACATCTTCCGGGATGGGTTTGAACAACATGACGAGGAGGACGGTGGCAATGGGAACAATCAACAAGATGCAAGACCAGAGTCGGATATCTGGGTCGCCGCGGAAACGAAAGCGGATTTGCATCTTCTGCCACCAAGACTCTGATGTTCTGCTCGTTCTGCATGGTTTGGTGTTGCTGCTATCCGAGATGGGTACCAGCAAGAGTACTGCTGGCAGAACAATGAGTATTGTTGTGAGAACTATCGTCGCTGGCCACATGGGGAACCCCGAATGCTCTTCTTCCAGCTTCCAAGACCAGGAAAGAACCACAGATTTGATGGGTTCACACACAAGAACCTCCAATGGATTGTCCTTATCGCTGTTCTTGGGGCTCCAAAAGTAGGTAGAGTTGCAAATGACGACAACATAACTGAACAGAACATTAGGAGAACCGTGACAGAGACCACCATCAACTTGGCATAGACTTTGGCGCCCATTGCTTGATTCCAGCCCAACCAGGCATCTTCTCCTGACGGCAAATCATCCTCCAGTTGTCCTTGGCTGACGGGATGCGCATGTCTTCTGGAAGTCACATGCCCCTCGGCGGAATCCTGCACCACTCCTGCTTGAGTTGCCGCCAATTCCAGTGCCAAGTGATCCTCAAATGTCATCTCTCACTGTCATGCAAAGATCAGCGTACCGGTACAACACAAGCCTCCAAGACACCTCCAAAGTACTGGCAATAAATAATACACTACCGTACCACTAGCTAGACTACCTGGAAAAGGCTGCTCCTGCCACTCATCACAGTTCCACAAGACTTTTCTGTGGCGGGACGATGGCATCTTGACACAGGTTACCGTACGAGGAGCCATGGTTGTCAGTGTGTCAATGTGGATGCGTGCAAGGAGGTTGTTGGCATGTGTCGAGAGTGCGTTGTCTGTTGTCTGCAGTAATATTATTCGTAATAAAATGAATCTAAATCATTGTTCTTGGTGGGGGGGGGGGCTTTCGGGTGTGAGCTATAACATTTCCTCATGTGGAATGGAGGTTGATATGTTTTATAAATATACCGGGCAGACCCGGTGATCTCTGAACACGTTTAATATACCGGGCAGACCCCGGTGATCTCTGAACACGTTTTTGTGGTGGTTGTGGTTGGTTGGTTGGTTGGTTTATCTTAGGGTTAGAGTTTATCTAAAAACGAAGCCCCCTCTTGGGCCCCACATTTCTTACACATTCCTTTTATAGCAACGGATCCTAATATTTTCCTACATTTGCACACCTCTAAACTCCGCGTACACACTTTCTCAGATGGAAAAATCTAATGTTTCCATTGCACATCTCTAAACTCCCGTAAGCTACTACGCCACTTTTTCAGACGGAAAATCTAACGTTGCACACTCTAAGCTCTCGTAAGCTACCACGCCACTTTCCCAGATGGAAAATCTAACGTCTCACGTTGCACACCTCTAAGTCCAGTAAGCTCACGCCACTTTCTCAGATGGAAATCTTACGTCTCATGTTGCAACCTCTCATCCCGTAGCTACACGCCACTTTCTCAGACGGAAAAATCTAATGACTACCTCGCCAACTTCAACAATATTACTATGCCGGCCCATCTTTTTTAAGTCAGCTCGCCGGTATCTCATTCACCTCGGTGTCCTTTTTGTAGTGGTGGTTGGTTGGTTGGTTATCCTTAGGGTTAGAGTTTATCTAAAAATGAAGCCCCCTCTTGGGCCCCCACATTTCTTACACATTCTCTTTTATAGCAACGGACCCTGAATATTTTCCTCACATTTGCACACCTCTAAACTCCCGTAAGCTACCACGCCACTTTCTCAGATGGAAAAATCTAATGACACTACCTTCAGCCAAACTTCAACAATATTACTATGCCGGCCCATCTTTTAAGTCAGCTCGCCCGGTATATCTATTACACCTCCGTTTTTTCTTTTTTTGGTTTAGTAGAGTACGGTAGGGAAGGTATCTATCAGTCATGGAGAGTTATATCTCTCGTGGGGCCACTGAGATGGCCTTGGCAAATGGATCCAGCTGGACTTAGGCACCAACAGACATGTCCGAGCTCTCACAGCTGATGCTGAGATTTCTAAGATACTCCTTTGCCTCCAAATATTTCAGAAATTCAGGGTCTGCAGCCTCCACACTCATGGCTTCTGTCATTCAATGAGTCACTAGCCACTAGTGACTCAGGGGGAATCCAAAAGCATAAATTTAAGAGGGAAATTAATGTAAGAATAATTTTAAAATATAAGAGGGAACAGACTGTATGTGAAGGCCACTTGCTGCCGCACGTAGAGTTTTAGGGGGGTTAGGCAGCAGCGCGGGGGAGGGAAAAGAAAAGAGAAAGGGAGAGGGTTATCTATTGGATTCCTGATTCCGAATGTCGGCATGCGTGTCAGTTGATAAAAGAAGAACCGAAGTCATACACGACCAACAAGATATAACAAATGAGGGGATATGGCAAAGACCAAGTCATCTCCCCCCTCTCAATATATCGAATATGTCCGAAGAACAAAGAAAGTGTCAGGTTTCGTGCGTCACAGGTCCGTCACGAAGCCTTGGTCTCACACTTTATCTCACAATTCAAATTGTCAACGGATACCTTCTGGCTCGCTCTTTCCCAATCCTTGGCTGACACCAAACCCTCCCACAATTCGAAATTTCGACATCCCTCAACCACAGCAACAGCGACGTCCTACTAGTACACCAAACAGCAACAACAACAACTCGACAGTTGGTTGACGCACAACAAGATAACAACATCGAACAGCACCACCACCACTACTCCCTTGTGCTCACACGAGAGCGACCGACATGAGAGCGACCGACACGAGAGCGACCGACCTTCGTTTGCCTTGAAGCCAGTGCCTACTTCGGTAGGGGCAAGACTCTTGGCAACAACAGCTCACACGAAAGGCGACAACTCGACAATGAGGATTGCAACTACACCGGTCTTCTCACAGTGGCTTCGAAGTGTTAATGCATACTACCCATTCAATGAGTTGAGGGCCACAACAAGGCACGGATTCACCTGCGAGTATGTGATTTTAGAAGAGGTGGATCCCATCGTCAACGAGAAGAAGTACAGCTGCGTGCGCACAAAAACATTCGATGTGTCCATTCTTGAGGAGCTTATCATGCAAGGAGGATGCAAGCCTCTTCCTCCTGCCATGACGAACATCATGGATTACATGTGTTATTGGGGAAATCAGAAAAGTGCCAAATGGTACAAGCATGTTGTCTCCTCGCTTCATGCAATGTTGGAGGGACCAGATCGCTGTGAAAGGAAGGACATCTTCATGGAGTGCATCTATTGGTTAGTGAAGGAGAGGATCACTGAGAGCTATGACTTGTGCTCCATCGAAGGACAGCTTGTGATGGCTGCTTGGCATGGGTATTACATCCAGTGGTACCAAGACAAATTTTCCTTTAAGGATTTCAGTATGATGAATGAGGAGTTTGTGACTTTGTGCATTGAAGACCTTGACTATTCTGGAGGCCTGCGACCCCAATTTGCTATGTTTATTGATGGCAACAACCGACAAGGACTTTGAATGTAAGTTAATGACTACATTAGAAATGAAATTGATGTACCTAAATATTTATTGCTGTTCTTATGCCAGATATCCATTCAATCGAGTTTGACAGGTGGCATCATGAGGTGGTCTTCCTCTCCTGTTGGTCAACCACTGGCAGTATCTCTGACAGCAGCCATTCAGTGGAGGAGGTGGCTGGAAAGGATATGGCAGTATGGGTTGGAATTGCCGCATTTGCATGGCAAGTTGCATCATTTGAATTTGTTGTTGTTGCTGGTATAGAATCAAATTACCAACATAAGCATTTCTTGTTTGTGGCACTGCAGGTGGTGGTGGTGGTGGTGGCGGCGGCGGCGGTGGAACCATTGCTGTTGCAGTTGGTGGAGGGGGTGGTGGATGGATTGCTGGTGGTTCTGTTGGAGGTGGTGGCTCAATTGCTGGTGGACTCGGTGGTGCTCCAGTGCAAGCCACACACAAACAACAATCATTTGGTCCATACTTCTGCCGCTGTGGTTTGAATGCAACAATGAACTCTGAAAAGAACCTCTCTCCATTATCCTGTGGCAATGGCTCTGCAGTAGGAAATGGTTCATTGAGACCCACAGCCACTGCTAGCTCATTGAGGTAAGCCAACTCTGAATGGTTCCAGTATGGAACAACCTTTTCCCATCCAGCTGGAATTGACCTCCTTTCTTCCAAACTGATTCTTGACAGGAAGGCTCTCTTGTGTCGAATGTTGAGGTTGTATCTGGCTGTTCCAGCAAGGTTAAGGGCATCTGCTAGACTTCTTCTCATGCCACTATTGGCGAAATGGGCAAACTTGTCATGGAATGATTCCAGTTTGGATTCTCCTCTCTTTGACAGATACTCTGGGAGGCTGTGCTTGGAATTGGGTGATGGTAGGATTGTGTCATACATGTCTTCCAAAGGCAGTGGATCAGCCAAGTGAGCCGCTTTGTCAACACAGTTCTCTACTGCTGGTTTGGTATCAGAAGTGAACAAGGTAAAGTTCTTTATTGGATCCAGTCGGCCCTGTCCTGGCTGGCTACCATCACTGGTGCACTACGCTAAAAGCTAGTGTAAAGATCTTTCGAGTGTTTTGAGTTTGAGAGAATGAAAGTTATGAGAGGATTAGAAAGCTATGAAAACTAATCAACGAGAGAGATCCACAATCAAAGGATCGTAGATCTGAACTCCCGCGGGAGACTGTAGAGTGTGATAGAGTAGGTTGCGTAGCAATCCTACTCACTCCACGATCCAAAAACGGAACGCGTGGAAGATTCGTCTAGCATTTATCTAGTAGCCTGGAATCTCTCCACGCCAGCTAAAATATCTAGCGCGATGTTTCACCATCGACTTAGTATGACTACGGTCATTAGAACCCTGGTCTCAATACTATTCACGAGAGACTCGTCATGAGTCGAACTCAAACCCTATCTAGGATCGAGTCGCCGAATAAGGCTAAGAGCCGTGTATTGCATTCGCCCCCTGACAAGGGTCACGGAAGGCACGACATCAGTCGGACAAGGAAAATATGAATTATATTAAAAAGTACTAGTTTTAGGCAGACTACTATCTGGTCCGGAGGACCTTTGTCAACGCTGGTACGAATCGAGCCGAGGGCCCAAGCAACTGAGTCGTTTATGTGGGTGTTCGCACGACACGAGGGGATAGCATTCAGTTTCATTGAAACAAGAGGATGTACCTCATAGAAGCACGATGGTAACTAGCTAACTAGTCTACGCTCGTCTTTCACCTCCGTCCCCAACGAGAGGGACAGTCCTTGTTTCTCCGCTACCACAATGAATGCCTCCTCGTGGAGTGACCGGGGCGCAGTGGCCTAATCCGGATTTAAGACTAAAATGTGTGATCATCAGTTGCTGTTGCCGTTGGAGCTGTCGATTCGCTGGAGCAGTTGCTTCTGGAACTCTGGTCGGGCCAGGGATGGTAGTTCAAGCCATCGTTTTGTTTTGTCGATAGTGAATGTAAGGGTGTTGGGTTTGGTGTCCGGGTGGACTCTCCAGTGGTCGACGGGGAGTAGGCTATGGTGCCTTGGGTGTACTGTTGTCGAACCGTTCGCGTAGAGTGTCCAGTTTGGTAGTTGGGTGGGA